GTGATCCTCCGAAACGCATGCAAATCTTAGCACGAACCAATGCGTGATCGGAGTCTAGATAAGTTGACCAGTACGATCGGCAGTCCGTTACGCTTCCGCGCCATCTGTAGCTGATTGCTATGTGGTCAAGCTGGGAGCACTCTTGCGTTTGTGAGGGCGGGCGCCAGGTAGCAGTGTGTCTCCTCGAGTGTCGAAAACTAGTGCTCGAAAGAAACAAGCGATGATCAGAGCAAAGAGCAAGCAGTCTGTCTCCATTGTCTGATCGGCTGCCACCGAGGCCAAGGCTATCCCCAAGGTGGTGCTCGCTTGGTGAAAGGCGGCCCAACCGTGCGTTAAAGTCTCCGGCAAGAATGACTATATCATTCCTTTTGGAGGAACAGAGAAGTTCATGTAGCTGCTTGTAAAAGCTATCCTTGACTGCATCTGGGCTGCAGTCTGTAGGGGTGTAGGCGGAGACGACAAGCAGCGTACGCTTAACGTCTCGACGCCTGCTTACATTACATGAACCTCGTAGTCTGACTGCACATAGCCGACTGTTGACTGGGATCCAGTCAAGCAGAGCTGATTCAGCCCTGGCACTCAGTGCAACCCCAACACCAGCTTGGCCAGAGGAGGCAGCTTCTGGGTCTCCGGAAAGCCGCAAGTGGTATTTAGCGTCAGGGTTTACCGGAGAGGCCATTCTGATGACGGTGCTATACTCTAATCTGGTCTCTGAAAGGTAACATATGTCTACCGAGAGCGTTTCAAGAGTACGGGCCAGACATGCTTGTCGTCCGATTTGCATCAATGTTTAAACATTAAATACTAGCGAGGATGAATGGAGAACCAGATCGAAGAAGAACTGGAGCTTCGGTGGAGTGAGAAGGCGGTTGCGATTGCAGGAAGTTGAAAACCGGGAGTTTGGCTGTTACTTCCATCAGTTGCGAGACGTGGGTCGTTTGTGACGGTGACCGAGGAAGACATAAAAGTACATATAGGTGAAGGACGGGAGGTGGGGTGATCAGTGAGTGGAGGTTGAGGAGTTGAGTTAGCAATAATGGGCATAGCACTAGCAGTAGTAAGCAATGTGGTCCATGATTCGTCTTTGGGTGGGATGCTACCCGGTTGCACAGGCTGAAGTAGAGGGTTGTCTTAGGGGGCCCTACCCCGAGCCTTTGATCAAAGATCTAACCTATAAGGCAGCAGGGCGATGTGAGGGCGTCGCAACCCATTGAGAGCCGGTGACCAGATAGATGGTTCATGCGCCTTTCGGTCAGTGAAGGATCAGGGGCCCAACGCACCCTTGAAGTACAATGCCTCTCAGGGAGGGGCAAGGGGCAGTGACTGTAGTTAGTGGTAAATCACATCCGCCACGTCGTGGCGTTGTTAAACAGACATTTGTGACTTTTTATAGAGAGAACGCTTGTCATGCGAAAACCCACCACATACTGGAACACTGCCGCCGACCCATTTGCTGGAACGGGAAAAACCCGAACCACCCAGCTGGCACTATGAGGAGGTTGTTCGGCTATTCAGCTTGTTCGACAACCCTGCTTTGTTCGGCACCTTCGGCACTATGACTTGAGTTACTGTCATGTGAAAGCGCGCTTTTTCCGTGTTGTTTGCCCGTCGTGGTTCATCCGGTGCCGCTTTCTAACACATTGTTATGCTCTCCGCGTTTGTTTGCCTGGCCCACTGTCGTACTCCTATCTGCAATTTACGTTACAGAACTTGTAAAATCTAAATGTTTTAGGGCACATTCAAGGCTAATGTGCCTACACTTTGTGGACAACATCATACGGTCATAAATAGCTGGCTGTCGGGATCGGCGAGACAGCTTCCCTGCAGCTTTCACTTCAACTAGAAGACGACAACAGTCGCGTCACTGTTGCTGGCCACGAACCATATCCTGTGTGGTCTATATGCCTTTTCTCAGCCATTACATCCATAACGCTTCTAAATTTCTCTTTAAGAAAATCGTGTTCCACCATTGATCTCTCATGATAGTCCTTAGCGCTATCAAGTTGCATCCGAAGGGCGCAACGCCCCTGAATGCTACTGTTCATTGAGTGATCAATTATAAAAACTGCCCATACCATCCCACCCTGTGTGCTCATTCGTTATAATATCGGCTACTTTGGGATTGGTCACCCAACAAACAGTACACATTTTTAGGATCCTTTGCAGCCATTGGATGCAATTTGATAGCGTTAATGACCATCTTGAGTAGTCTGTGGGGGAATATGATTTCCTTGAGGAGGGATTTGAAAACGCTATTGGTGCATTTAGCTAAGTAAAGGTGCAGTTAAACACGAGATCGGTCACGTGGACTCTAACCTCAGAGGCGAGACGGACCAATAGCATCCAGGTTAGTCTTGTTCTCTGCATGCCCGTTGACCGCCTTTCTTGACATGTATCCCATACCTATGCGACATCTTGCTGTGCGCAAAACCGTGGAGTGGCCAATCCATCCTGGAGCACGAAATAATGGACCGATTGACCAAATGATTTGGTCAAGCTGTTGTATGGAGGAGCCTCATCTGTTAGGATTGAGGCTAGCCTAGCTATATCAGAGTGCGTCCGCATACCAAAAACCACACGACAGTTACAAGTAGCGGAACTGTGTGCCCTTGCATAGAATGTGGAACGGAACGCGTGGTCCCATCACCTCGCCAGTGTGGTCTGCCATCAACCCTAGGCCATTTGAATGTTCATCTGTCAATTATTACGTTCTGTACTATTGCGTTCGACCATACCTGTATTCTGGAGATTACAGCAAGCCTTTTGATCCGTATCTTCTACTGGTTTGGACAAATGGGTTCAAATCCTTCTCACCTCCAGAACATGACCTCAAAAAATGCACTTTATCTACCCGCAAGATTTCTGCTTACTTGCGATGCCATGGCGTTATGCCTGGTCCACCTTGCCAGTGGATTACTTTTCCTGTAACAGCAGACTCTTCATCTACTTGGCACCACTATATCATGGATATACTTTACCTACCTCGCCAGTATAGTCTGCCAAAGATCTTAGGTCCTTCGGATGAATATCGACTGTGATCTGTACCATTGCGTTCGGACATACCTGTATTCCAGAGCCTACACCAAACTCCTCGATCGGTGATTTCTACTGGTTTGAAAAAATGGGCTCAAATTTTTTACTTTCGAAACATCACCTCAACAAAGTTTGAACTCCCTGTAAGCGTTCTACTTACTTGTGATGGCTATTCCTCGTGGACCTGCCTGCGACACCCACCTGGTCCGTCGGTTATCTACTCGGACATTGTACCGCAAAAGAAATATCCCTCCTCCATTACTTTGCGATTCTTGCTCACCGCAACCCCGCATTCCACTCTCCATAGCTCTATCTCATCTTCGTCCAGTACCGCCGGCTTCAGCCGTCACTGGTGAATCTTGATTGAACTTTCGATCCACCAACGAAAAAATTGGGTATAATATGCCGCGATTAACCGCGCGAATAATCGGTCTTTAAAAATCGTTGCCAGTGATGACACATTGCTGTTTAACTTGTGATCGATGGCGGCAGTGTTCCAGGACGTGGTGGGTTTTCGCCTAACAAGCGTTCTCCCTATTAAAAGCCGCAAATGTCTGTATAACAACACTACGACGTGGCGGATGGGACTCGCCAGTGAATAAATTCACTGTCCACTGCATCACATCGGCAATGATCTCAATATCCGAAACTCCCGACCACAACAGCATGTGAACCAAAGAATTCGTGCCATTGTATGTAACCCAGGAGATTCAACCTTTCATCCATCGGTGTTTATCTCTCGGGTACCTAAGCCCACAGAAAAATGAATCCCAATCTTCAGAACCATTTGAATCAACCCCCACCCAGACTTTCCCTAACAGAGACACTATAGATTTTACCGCGCTTCGGCGCCACATTTTCTGACGCCAGTGAACATTCCCATCATTTTTATAACATTCCTATGCGAATATTACGCACACTTTTTCTAGCCATGTGTTTTGCAAACACTTATACCGTTTGATGTACATACACTCCGTGTTTCTGTGCCTGTCAAGCACTTGATCATGCGTATACTGGTGTGTCTCGTTTCATTGAGAATAAAACTGTTTATTTATTCGTTTATAAATGTACACTCATCAAGCCGGATACAATGTCGCAACTGCGTGTTCCTACAACCAGAACATTAGTGTGTTTTCCGTCTGCACCAAATATCGTTTGTACCACTTGTTTCGCACAATCTCAAACACCTTTGGGCCGTTGCCGTCCTCTCTTATACGCTTTTTGCATTCTCAATACATTGCTCCGGGTTTTCACTTTCTTTTACCTGTGAGATGTCCTGCTGAGCTGTGCCAGTTCACTGATTTCGGTGTTTCTCAGTGACTCGGATGTATATATATATATATATATATATATATATATATATATATATATATATATATATTCATTCAGATATATACATTCGTGAATGTTTCCGCACTCGGTTTCTTGCTTTTAGCCATTTATGTTCCATCCCTATCTTCTTTTTCTTTGGCCGGCCCGTAACGCGTTTGTCTCCTAGTCTTGCAGTCCGGGTTCGAGCCTGTGTAGGGGCAGGGCGACCCTCGCAGTATCCTTTTTAGCCCACGTGCAACCGGTGGTGGTTGTGCAACATCGAAGCGTCGATACTACTTACTGCTGATGCCTTTCTTTTCTTCTTTTTCTCCTTGTACTCCGTCCGCGTTGTTCTCCAGCTTCCTCACTATTGTCACATGAATGAAACGTAATTGGACTTGCTACCCTCTTTGATAGACGATCACGTAGTATTTCGCTTTGACTTAACATACTTCCTTACATACATCCTTGTGTTTCGAACTGGCTTTAATATCCGACATCGGTAACCATTCAGTCAGCAGCTATTCAACCGATACTGATTCTTTAACCGACTAAATATTGCTCCACATTATGCTCTCACTTTGCCAATTTTTTCCATCGGCTTGTCTTAACTGTGTTCACTTGCGCTCTCTTCTTCGTCCCGCATCACTGCGTAGTACTACCGTCGTGCCAGACTGGCTGCACTGCACAAACACGCTCGGCATCTATTCTCCGAACCACCTGCTGCGTTTCACAACGGTGACAGTATGTCTGAACGCAGTTTTTGTCTAAGCCGTCCGTATTCCGCACCTACTTCGCCTACCGCTTCTGGTCGGTCAACTCCGTTGCCAAGTTTGGGTGCGAACGCATCGGAATGCAGTACCCCTACTTCGCATTTGGACGAAGATGAAGTGGACGAAATCACGGAGCGTTTGGAATTGGGCCTGGAGGCTGTGAGTCTGACTGATGGCCTGACTGCCTGAGTCACATCGCACCCTGCTCTCCACTCTACAGAAATGTTATCTCTCATTGTCGCAACGCCTAGTCACAACACCCGCTAAAAGGTCGTGCTCATTGTAGTCCTCTCAAGCGGCTGTTTTTGCAGTCTCTTAGTCGTTCTCTTGATACATCGAAACACCGATCTACACTAGTACCCTCGCCTCACATGTAACTTTCACTAGATTATTTGTGCTCAACAAATGACTTTCCTTTATTTTTTCTCTCAACTTATTTTCCTCAGTATTTTTTTCTTCATTTTGATACGCGCGTGTCCCACCAACCTGATCCACTTATTTCGTGCACCGCCTTCGTCTGCACACCTCTAGTTTGCTGGTGTTTATTCACACTCGAAGCGTTATTCTTCCTTTTATCTGCTTTGTTATGCGCAACCACCAGAAATGCTTTTCGTTTCGGCCGACATGCTGGCCTTTGTACATACCTGTCGGCAGCATTTGCTCTGGCGACACCGGGCATGTTTTCCCTTTCTTGCTTCAACGCGCGCATTCTTTTGTCTTTGTATGTTTTTTTCTTTCTTTTATCTTCATACTTCGCCGATCGACGTCGGACCTCTTCTAGTATTCATTCACTGTTGCGAAATGACGGAAGCTACTTGTTGTTTTAACCATCGTCTACCTCTCTTTCTTCCGCCGCATTTTTATTCTTGCTGTATTTTCACATCCATTCTTCTTTCTCTCCACCGAGAGTTGTTGCCTCATTATACCTTTCGGCACAACGGACCTCTCTTCTCACTTCAAATGGCATATCGGTCCCCGTGGGTTTTGTCGGCTCTGCCGGTTGTTGCCAGTCTTCTAGGCATCGTGATTCCAACTACCCCTTTGTCACAGTTCAGTCTCTCTTTCATTGTGGAGTTTGATTTCAGCTAACTACTTGTCTGCTTTACGAAAGCAGTTCATGGCAATAGTACAACCGCTTGAGTCTTGCAGTAGAATGACTGCGGAAAATCAGCTTCATGTATGTTCACTTGCCTATGATGTGGGTGATTTTTAGAGTCTCTAACCTTACTCCTTTTCATGGTTGAGCGTCGTGCCCAGTTGGAAATAAGTAGTGTACGCTCCTCACCAAAATCGCAACTTCAGATCCGGTATTGATCGCGCATCATTTGAGTACTTACCAGACTGCGCTTGGGTTTTCTCTCCTCACATAAATGAATAGATGGATACATAAATAAATACCTTTTTGTTTATTCATCTCAGCACCTTACATGCTACTTGGTTCAGCCACAATCCGCAAAAACACCAGCCGCGTTTCCCTCTATTGGCGCTCGTCAGTAGTGCACATTCCCTCGGTCCCCTACTGCGGATCGAACCCATGACCGCTAAAGGCTGATGCCAATTAGCCAGCACTTTAAGCCACTGAGCCATGGGAGATGGCAGTTGGGCTACCTAATTTGCAAGCTAACTGGATATAGCACTACCTAACTTCCACTGCCACGCAGGTTACTACCCTTGCAGATGACAGTGGCTAGCCTCCAGGTCATGGCTTCCTCTCACTAGACGCTGCGTCCATGGCTTTTGAAACTAGAACAGGCTACCTTTTATATTACTTGTGTCTAGGAGGATTTTATTTGTAATTTTTAATGTGTTCAACCCAGCAGCTCACAAGTTACCTGGCTCTGCCACAATCTGGAAAAACACCAGACGCCTTTCACCCTATTATTGCTTATCAGTGGTGCACATTCCCTCGGTCCCCTACTGGGGTTCGAACTCATGATCGCTAGATGCTGACGCCAACTAGCCAGCAGTTTAAGCCACTGAACCATGGTGGACGGAAGCTTGGTTACGTAATTTACAAGCTAACTGGATATAGCACGACCTAACTTCCACTGCCACGCAGCTTACTACTCTTGCAGATGACAGTGGTTTGCCTGTAGGCCATGGCTTCTTCTCACCACATGAATACATTAAAATTACAATTAAAATCCTTCTACTCACAAGATAACTTTTCTATTTTCGACACTGTTGGCATCTCTGTAAAGACATTGTCATGGTGGTGTAATCATGTATTGGACAAACCAATGGGAAAAATAAGTTGTTCATTTATGATCAGGTGGGAGGACAGATGTGCCACAAGGAAAGGGAATGGAATGTGTTGGTTTGATGAAAAGGGACGCATCAGTGTGTGGTGGATTAAAGCTGACACTACCACACCATTTCTCAGTAGTATAGATCTGACAGGAAGTCGAATGGCACTGAGCCAACGGTATGCCATAATAACTCCCCGAAATAAACAGCACACTTATGAATCGCGGACATATGTGCGCAAAGAATAGACACAAGCAATGCACGCCACATAACCAATAGACAGGGAAGCAGCGCGCGCCATGCAACGTCCAATCGGGAGTGCGTAGATGAGTAGAAGTTTCGTTGGCTAAAACCAGTCAAACTGTTTAGCACAATAAATAACTCCGTCCGCACCTTGAGTTTTGACAAGCGTGGTGGGATTTGATGTTTTGGAAATGCGATCTTCGTCTTATCCTCTACAAGCCGATAAATTAGGATCAGATGAATATTTGCAAACCAATTGTGGTAAGGTAACATGTTTTCCAATGATTGCACTGATAGGGAACAAGTTAACTTGAGAAAGATACGATAGAAGGGAACCCCGTCGGACTAGGATGCTCAGCTATCTGGTTCAAGTGTGATGCAGCTGCACCACAAACACATCCCTGTTCGTATTTTTGGTGCTACCTGCACTCCATGACTGGCTTTGTACTTATCCCTCGTCAGGTGGACATAGCAAAACTACAACTCGACCTCGGAACATAGCGGCTGCCAGTTGAAGCATCGATCTGCAAGAAGCGCTTCTCACGACCGTAAATGTTTGAGTGTTCCGCGTAGGGGTGGGCGTCCTCGCGGTATACTCAACCCGCGCGCGACTGGTTGTGTTTGCGCGGCAACGAAGCGCATTTACGGCGTACAGCTGACACATTATTATTGTTATTATTATTATTAAATGTTTGAGTATGAACTCGTTTTGAACACCTTGTGGTGTGGATGGATTGAGATGCCTCCCAGTAAATCATTAACCGTTATCCGCGGCTCCGTAGCCTAGAGGTAACTGTTTTTAGTCCCCTCACTTTGGGTCGGAGTCTCAGTCTTGCTGTCTCTGTTTAACGAGTGCAAAGCAGTGCATACCGGTTGTGGAGTTAGTGTTAAGAGTAGGCAACGCGCAACATTCACTCCATGACCGACATTCACTTCGGGGTGGATTGCGGTCTTGATTTGGATTGTATGGCCCAATCAAATCACGCAGTGAGTGGTTGGAGATGACTCCCAGCGTGACATTTTGTTTCATCCATCCCGTCTTCTCGGACGTAAATGTATGCCCCTCATACCGAAACCTCGGTCGCGCGTGGCTCATCTGGTGCCTCTCGGCACATCTTCCAGTGAAACCAATGTCCACTTGACTCAGGGGTTTTCACTCCGTGCGTGCATCCAAGGGAAGCTTCCTGTTCCTTTTCACTTGCTTTCTGCGCGTCTGTTGCCGAAAAATGACACCATTAATTATACTGATTTTTCGGACGAACTGTCGCTTCTTGAGTGTGACGTTTTCATGAGTGTGATGCCCGTACTAAATGGAGTGGGTTGATTTGCGTGCCTTCCGGCGTTTGTCGTTTCCGCTAGCGCCGATGTATGTGTTTCAATCACATGTCCGGTCGGTCGGTCTACCCGTAGTTTCAAACCGATCCGGTCACACCTTAGGGCGTCTATATGTCTTACTGTTTACGTTTGTTTCCAATGTAAGCGGCTGCACAAGTCGGTGCTTTTCACCTTACCCCTCGATGCATTTGTACAAGCTTGACTGGAGCACTTAACATGGTCACCGAGCTTATATCACCTTGTGATGGTCACATTAGGCTTCAGTTCCGCTGAGATTTTGTTTGTGAATGAATTTCTGCACTCAAGCTCAACCCAGCTAGGCGATTATGAACCTGACTTATACCGGAAGTGCTAATTGTTTTCTCTCCACTGACGCCCGTAATGTTACGATGGTCTTTCATGCAGCCATTACCCTTTAGAAATTTTAAAAGAGCAAGAACGAACATTTTTACGGGATAATCTGAATTCGTGTCTTCTCATTCAGCCGCTTATAAACAAATCGTGGAAAAAGTGAAGGAGTGCAATTGAAAAGGGGGTCAATAAGTAAATCAGTAAAAAGCTGAGAAAATCGAGATCATTTCTTACGTCTTACCAAGGCATGGCAAAACTGGCCACAGGGTCGACCTGTTTACAAAAGTTAGGTTTCATTCTTGTTATACTCTTCTCACTAGACGCAACTCCAAAAAATAACAATTCACTGCTCCGCAAAACTTCAAGCCCAACCGAAGGAAAAAAGCAAAACGCCAATGACCCTGACAAAAGAACGTATTAATCGCAGTCAACGAACACTGTACAACAACTGCGGACCTTGGCTGTATTTATAGGTCTCTACTGACCTTCGACTTCTAGAATTGGAAGGTCAGCTGCCAAGGTTAGTGGTTCCCCATATCTTTTCCCGAGAGGTCAGGTGGATTTTGATCACGTGTAGAAGAAGAACATTCAGGAACGTTCGAAATCGATGCAATAATCGTTAATAATCGATTAATCGCTAAAATAGGGAATTTCCAAGGCAATTCTTACTTTCTCCAGGACAATTCTCCAGATGGTAGAGGTTTCAGCCACTGTCGTTGAGTTTTCCTGATTGAACAACTCTGTTGGAATGCGACCTCGTGTCATTTCATGTACTTTCCCGCTCCGGTTTTATAACTAGGCTAAAGGGTGAAAAGAGCAATGATTACCATCATACGAATATCTTACCCATTGCGATCGGTCAAGATACTTTTGAATGTTTTCATATTTGCTTCATGGGTGTTGGTACACGATCTGACCGATGCTAACAGCGATTCTCTTACTAATACACGAACTTTCGGGTACGTTTACACACTATCCGAAATAGGATAGTTCGTGTACACTTTCATTTTACCGATAATCACTACGCTTTGATTCCACACCTTTCTAACACACTAGTATACTGTCTCACAACCTGACTTCTGCGAAACGTATTTGGTAGTGGTGTCTGTTGAACTGTTTCGACACTCGGCCAATAATATTGTAATTGGTATAGTTGGCGGCATTCGGATTTGCCTGTCACTGTGGTCAGCCACAGGACTCCTGCGCCTACAGAGGGACCATGAGTGGCTTGTGCTGCACTACCCACAGCTTCATCCACACACCCCATATTCAGTGTAAACCCGAAGGAATAAGACCGGGAGGAATGTGGATGGGAGCCACGTTTCATCAACGGAGCTGGCCCACACTACTTCACAGGCAAACACAATTACACTGTATTTGGGGAACGAAGCGCACACAAAGCGGTGACTGGACCGTAGTCCGCTCCACACTAAGTACATGGAACCGCTCCTCGAGCCTAGCATGAACACAAGGACCGTGCACCCCGTTCCCTTCAGCAACGACCAACTGTCTCCTGGAGCCAGTATGGACGAGGTAGTGGGTAATAGACAGGTAGGCACCTTGTCAACATGCACATCAAGCGCAGCCACACCGAGGATATCAAGCAACAGCCAATCACTTGAAACGACAAGATGAAATAAAACAAATCCAATGATGCATAGAGATACGGTGGCATAACTTCGCTAAATTACCATATGAAGTAAGTTGGTTAGTAAGGAATCCGCGATAGGTACAAAATGTCCAGAAGTTACTCAGATATGCTACAA